GTACCCAAAATCTGGGCACCCCACTTTCCCAACACCCCAGTACCCAAAATCTGGGCACCCCACTTTCCCAACACCCCAGTACCCAAAATCTGGGCACCCCACTTTCCCAACACCCCAGTACCCAAAATCTGGGCACCCCACTGTCCCAACACCCCAGTACCCAAAATCTGGGCACCCCACTGTCCCAACACCCCAGTACCCAAAATCTGGGCACCCCAGTGTCCCAGCACCTTGGCACCTCAATGTCCTGGCACCCCATTGCCCCCCAATCTCAAGGCATCAACACCCCAGCACCCATCATCTTGGCACCCCTCTGTCCCAGCCCCCCAATACCTCATTGTCCTGGCACCCCAGCACCCTGCCCCCAAGGGTGGCACACCCTGGCACCCCAGTACCTCAGCACCCCACCACCCTGAAACTGTCGGCACCCCAATATTGGGATACCCCAGTGCCCCAGCACCTCAATACCTCAGCACCCCGGCACCCAGTGCCCCACACCCTGGCACTGCCGGCACCCCGGGGCCCAGTGCCTTGGCACCCCAATACCTCAGCACCCCAGTACCTCAGTAGCTCAGCACCCTGGCACTCAGTGCCCCAGTACCCAGTGCCCAGGTACCCCAGTGCCCATTATCTTGGCAGCCCAGAACCCCAGCACCCCGATACTCCAGGACTGCAGCACCCTGACACCCAGCACCCAGTGCCCCGGGATACCCCTGTGTGGGGGCACACACACGTTTGGGGGCACACACATGGGGGGGGCATACCCATGTAGGGGGGCACATGCATGTCCTGAGCTGTGCACACACGTGTTTGGGGGTACACACATGTGTGGGCACGTACGTGTCATGGGGTGGGCACATACGTGTCATGGGGTGTGCACACCCGTGTAGGGAGGCACACACGTGTCCCGTGGTGCACACACACATGTTTGGGGGCACACCCGTGTTGGGGGAGCACACACCCATGTTGGGGGGGCACACACCCATGTAGGGGGGGCACACACACACCCGTGTTGGGGGGCACACACCCGTGTAGGAGGGCACACACCCGTGTAGGAGGGCACACACCCATGTAGAGGGGCACACACCCATGTAGAGGGGCACACACACGTGTTGGGGGGCACACACCCGTGTAGGGGGGCACACACACCCGTGTAGGAGGGCACACACCCGTGTAGGAGGGCACACACCCATGTAGAGGGGCACACACCCATGTAGAGGGGCACACACACGTGTTGGGGGGCACACACCCGTGTAGGGGGGCACACACACCCGTGTAGGAGGGCACACACCCGTGTAGGAGGGCACACACCCATGTAGAGGGGCACACACCCATGTAGAGGGGCACACACACGTGTTGGGGGGCACACACCCGTGTAGGGGGGCACACACACCCGTGTAGGAGGGCACACACCC